AGTGGCAGGGAGTCAGAATGAAGTGAAAGGGGTCAGAGTTGAGTAGGTGAAAATTGAGTGGGAGAGGCCAGAGATTCGTTCAGAGGTGTAAGGTGGTTCGGTGAGGATTGAGTTAGTGAGGGCCAGTAGCAGGGAGTTAACATTGAGAGGGCGTGGTCAGAATGGAGTTGTGTTGGCGAGTGGTCGAAGTTGTGTTGGTGGCTCGGAATGCAGTAGCGGGGAGTCAAAATGAGCGGGTGGGAGTTGGGGATAGGTTTGAGTTTGTAAGAGATCTATGTTGGTCGAATCAGGGCTGAATGAATGAGAATCAGTGAATTGGTCGGGAGTGTGTGGCAAGTTGATGACGGTCGAGTTGAGTTAATAAGGGTTTGGGATGTAGTTACTGGGTGCCGGAATTGAAAAGTAGGGGTGTCAAAATTGCAAGGACGTGATCCAGAGTTGAGATGGTGGAAGCTCGGAGTTAATTTGGACTTTCGTCGAACAGTTTCATGCTGTGCCGGTTTAGAATCTCTTTGTAGAAGAGAGTGAATTGGTGCATTTGATGTGTTAGTTTGGTTTTTGTATGTGCTCTTCGTGTGATTAATGTTATTGCTGTTAAAGATTGAGCTCTGAATTGCTTTCGTGCGGTCTGCGTCGAATAGGAGCTAGAATTGAAATTTTTGATGCTCTCGATTTTGAGTTGGTGTGTTAGTGTATGAACTTAACGCTGTATTTGGTGTTGAGTTGACATTCTGATTTATGTGGAGTTGAATATGAGCTCAGAGTGATAATTCGGGTCGGGATATAGATGGACGGGTAAACTCTTATTCATAGGTGAACGTAATTGTTGTTAAAATAAGTTGCTGCGGGTACATAATGGCTAAATTTTCTGGTGTATTTGTTTATCGAGTGGTTTCTGATTAAAGTAGGTTGGATTTGAACAGCGGAATATGATTTTATTGTTCAGTGGAGAAAATATCGAGAACGTGTTCCTTTGCGGTTGAATTCGTGGCAGTATACTGTCTAAACCCCTGATCTCGTGGTTTTCATCCACGATCTCATCTCGTGGCATTATATTCAGTTCTTTTGTGATAAAAATTATGTTGAAACAAAACAAACATTTCCGTAAAAATAATGTGTTCATGAATGAATAAAGATTATGTAATAAAAAATCTTATTAATGTGATATAAAAGAAATATTTTTCATTTACTGTATGTATTGCATGTAATCGAGTTGGTTGTGTAGTCAGGGGATGTATTAAACTTTTCGGAAAATGTTTGCATGTGTGGTGTCCTTTAGGAAGGAACATGGCACTTCTTTCCTGTCAGGTATGTGTGCTTGTAATTTATAGGGAGATGGCATGGGTTCCATAGCTGATAAAGGAGTTATAACAAACTGTAAGGGACATTCTTCTGGAATTTTAATCGAAAATAATTGACCTTGCAAAACCCTCGTTTCTTGGCTCTCTTCTACGAAGTTTATTACAAGTTAAACTGTAAATTTTGAATGAACTGCTTCTTTTGGACTAATAAGAATCACATTGCATTTTTGCAGTTATACTATACTATTAATAAGAATCACATTGCATGACCAACATTTTTTGGCACTTAAGTGCCATTTAACATGAATGTTTATATAACTGAGTTGAGATGTTTAAAATTATGACATTAAGAATAGAGAGCAGACACAGGAAGAGTGGCAGAAGTAGTTACACTTGTGGGTAGGTCTGTTAGGACATCCACATTATCTCGTGTTAACATCAGCGATGTCTCCTGAACATGCAACGTCGAAACAGTGAAGGGGCTAACAAAGACTCAAGAGGTTCAGAGACGAAGAGAGAATGATTCTGTCCAAAAGAATTCATTGAACGTGGTTCGTCACTTTGGCGTGTTGGAGGTGTGATGCAGTGCGTCTGTTTAGGAACTGTGCCACTTTCGGTAGGAGTCTGGCGAGCGATTATAATTTTGCCGAGCAGCCAGAAGCCACTCCTCGGCGTTGCTCATAGCTCTGTTTAGTTTCGTAGCGCCGGAGCGTTTGGCCCGATGCGTTTGGCCCTGAGAGATCGTTACATTGTATTCGCCGTTTGCTGATTCAGTTTGTCTTTCCTCGAAATAGTTTTAACTTGTTCCGTGCTTTTCTGTAAACATGCGACCGATTGCTATTGCGACTTCAGCTGCTTTACTGCTTTCGTCACTGGTTCATCGCGTATGTAGCGAACATTCGGTTAGATTTAAAAGTGAAGCTAGAAACTCTTAGAAAAGTCACGAGATTATTCCCAAGTGTTCGCAAGTCTTTTGGCAGTGGAACTTGAAATACCTGGAGCATGTCAGGGGTTATTGGCCTTGAATATTTACGCCGTGAACTAAGTTTTTTGCTAAAAACAAAACGTTTTTGCTGTTTCTTAAGACGGATGTCGGTGGAGAACTTTTGAAATATTCTACGCGGTAGCAACTGTGAAAGAATTATGTGAATAAGTCACGGAATTGTAAGAACATGAATTCAATTGTAATTGAGTATATACATTAGTGCTACTCTCTGGATTAGGTAAAGTAGGCGAGGCGGAAAATTAGAATCGAGGGTAGCTTCAGATTCATGATTCAAAAGTCATGAAACGAGAATTTAAATAAAAAAAATAAAAAAAAAAAATTAAAAAAAACGTGAATTTTCGCGAAAGTGTCGCCAAAAAATCAAATATCCGTGATGAAACGATAACACCTTCCAGATGTTTTCACAATCAGATGAAGAAACGCAATTTATTGTATTTATTCATCATTTTGATGGTTTGTACTTCACAAGGTCTGGGCCGTTATTATGCCCCGTCCCTTTCCTGTCAGTTCAGATTGACTGTGGCGGCACAGTTGTCAAACAGACCCGCTGCAGTCGCTGCCTGGAGTACGCCGTCGGATTGAAAAAGTGAAAGAAGAAGGAGGCAATGCCTACTGGCCAAGCAGCGTACCTGCGTGTGCGAGTAGTACATGGCGAAGTTGGAGACGATGACGGGCACGGGCAAGGCTATCGTGAGCACGCCGGCCAGGGCGCACAGCGCGCCCACGAACATGCCCACGTACGTCTTGGGCACCATGTCGCCGTAGCCCACCGTGGTCATGGTGACCAGCGCCCACCACAGGCCCAGCGGGATGCTGTTGAAGTCGTTGTGCGGGTTGGCCTGGATGCGCTCGGCGTAGTAGACGAGCGACGCGAAGATAACGATGCCCAGCACCAGGAAGAAGACGAGCAGCGTCAGCTCCTTGGCAGACGCGCGGAACGTCTGCAACAGCGACGCGCCGCCTCAGCTCGCCTGCCACCTACTAGTGCGCATCAAGTATGGGGACGAGTACGAAGTATATTACGTTCTAATGCGCATTAAGTATGGGTACGAGTATCAACAATGTTGCGTACTAATGCGCATGAAGTATGGGTAGGGGTACCAACGGTATTGCGTACTAATACGTATTAAGTATGGGTACGAGTACGAAGAATATTACAAGAGCAAGTGTCGCAAACTTCATACGAGTGGGTATTAATAGTCTTCCAGCAACTGTCATTCAGTACATTTTCTACGACTAATAATAGCTATTAGAAGTAGAAGTGTGTTACTATTTTTAGTTTTGTAGTCCTTTTGGTGGTGATAATTGAGTTGGTGGTGTCTGACACACTCCCTGCCAACATTTTAACATTTTACACTGTTGATTCGCTTTTTTCTCATCAGCCACCGGTTTGTCTCAATACGACGAAATATTTACCAGAAACAGGGCAAATAATTATTGCATGGTACTGCATAATTAATTACCTTTCAGTGTTTGAATTGCAAACGTATATATGTTACTGATTAAACACTTGTATTTATGAAACTGTATCATAATGACTATCAACGAGTAACAGCTATTGAATAAGAGAATTGTACAATGTAAGTAAAAAAAATCCGTTGACCCTTTATTGAACGAGCTCAAAGGCGCAAGTGCAGTTCAAGGCTGATTTGCTCACATGTGATAAATGCTCTTACATGTTATGCGATGTATGAAGCAAAAATGGTGACAGCTTTTTCTTCGCTGTTCCCGTAAAGAAATCCTTTGTCGCATGCGATGGAAAAACTGTGTCGGACAGCACGTGATGTGCTAATTGAACCGAACATCGTTAACGGAAGGTACATAAGGAGTTAAAGGCTGCTATGCTCTCACTTTGTGTTCAAGGTTTTCCCCTTTACTGTGATAAAAAATAATTGTCGCAAAGTTGTAAAAGTGAGAAAAATTTAATTTATATTAAATTAATTTCATTAATTCCGTATACTTACGTCATATCGTTTAATTACCATAATTATTAGAATTAAATTAATTTAATTATCGTGATTATGAGATGTGAAATGTGATGAATGCTCTAAGTGTTAATACTCATTTGTCAAAATGGCAAAATGGTGTTAACGTAACTTCAGGAATCAACGTTTAATCACAGTTGTTGGATAAAGTGCTTAAATTTTTCGAATGAATATGCCAAGTGATACGGATGTTTGTACACGGCGATTGTCTGGTTTTTAATTAGCCATCTCTCATGTGCTTCTGCAGGCTTTATCAGAGTCTCAGTGAATCAAGGAAACCGTGAAATTAACTCACTCGTGTAACGTCTAACCACTACAGGATGGAATTTTGATCGTGGTGGATAAAATGTTGAAAGACACTCATTTCAAGCATCAAATGTTGTAGCAAGTACCATGTGGTAATCTATCAATCTGCAAATTTGTTGAGTTTATCATTTTTATCTAGATGTATTGGGTTTCCTTTCTCTATCGTTTGTGTGTGTGTGGAATACGTGTGTTTTAGAGTCAGTATCCGATTGTTCTTTTTGATTTTCCAATACATTTTCTCATATGTCGATATACGTTTGGAACTAAATCAGTTTATTGATTTACTGCAGGAATGCTTCAAAGGAATTCATCAGCACAATATTGGAAATTCACTTGTTTGAATACTAATTTTGTGAGTTTTCTCGGTGTAAGAAGTTGAATTATAATGATAAATCGATTATCGTTTCACTGCCAATAATGAACCCATCGCGAGACATGCATGTATAAGCAAATTATATTTTTGCTGTACAGCCTGATATGAACAGTTCGTGGTCCAATAATATTTTCTGTAGATAAGAGTAATATTAATCTTACCTTCCCAGCGAGTCGAGAAATCTCATTAAATAGGGATCTAATAACCATAAGTCATAACTTCAGAAATTTATAGATGCTATTTCTCTACATTGGATTGTTAGAATTGAGTAGTTGCTACTGATGCACGTGACAGTTCTAACGTTCAAGTTATTCATTTTTATTGTTCATTTCATTGTTTTCGCTAGTTGTGTTTGTGTGTTTTCAAGTTCATTTTTATTGTTTTCGCATTTGCGCTTAGAACTGTCGTTCGCTCACCGCTTCTCACTGATAGACACTGATTAACACTGATAGACTGTTAATGCCGTACTGCCCGTACCACTCTATATTATTCCAAGGTTAGTGATTATTGTAGAAACATTCAGCTCGTTTTGACAGCGAATAGATAGTTTATGAACCATATTTGTTTTTAATTATATCTGAAAAAATTAAGGGGGATTTCGAGATACCGCGACAGACAATTACCAGTTAGAAATATACAAATTTTGAAGAATACAGTTTGTACGTTAATGAAAAGCCTTTAACAGATGCGCACCAATACCATTCAGGTTACTGGAGAACACCAGTAGGTGCGTGTCTGTCAGAATCGGAAAATAAGTTGCCACATTTTTGCATAACAGTATATTTTAAGCATATTAATATTATTGAAATATGTATTTAACAGTATATTACCCAATTTTCAGCTAGTATTTGTTAAAATCTTTTCAGTTTTTGAGTACTGGACATAACATTTCCTGTTCTTGCGCTCTTTTCCCACGTATTGAAATTTTGCCCGAAACCGTTATCTACATCTACAGATACTGAAGGTATATTTAACACGTTTATGGACAGGCGTAGTTCTAAGAAAACAATTTCGAAGTAATTTCACAGGGTGGCTTCTAATTGTTTGTAGAGATACTCTGAGTGTTGAAGGACGAAACCATCACTAGAGGTTCCAACAAAAAAGAACTACAGGATGAAAGTGTAAATTCCTTGCCTAAACTAACAGCGTGAAAGACACTACGCCGAGATCAGTCGTTGCCCTGTATTGCCGCTGTTAACGATCGGTTGTAAGTGCACTTTTCATAGCACGAGTCAATGAATATACTTCGATTAAATCAGTGCCCTCTTCAAAGTCACGAGCTGAAAAGAAAGGGGGACCTCTGTCAACTGATCTGAAGTTTGAATACCGAACATGTAAGTCGTATCGAAGCTCGTGATTGGATGACAGGGGCCCCTCTCCTCCCAGCACGTGACCTCGAAGGGGCACTCTGTTTTAAGCGGAGCCCAGCGCAGAGTACCTGTATGAGGATCTTGAGGCCGGACGAGTGCCTGGTGAGCTTGAAGAGCCTCATGATGCGGATGATGGAGAAGAACTCTAGGATGTCTGCGTTCTCCAGGTGCGACGCGTACTTCTGCAGCACGAGGTCGATGTAGAAGCTGAGCGTGGCGACGTAGTCGATGATGTTGACGCTGGCCTTGATGAACTCCCAGCGGTTGGGCGACGCCACGAAGCGGATGAAGAACTCGAGCGTGAACCACGCGTTGCACACGCACTCGATGTAGAAGAAGGCGAGGTGCGCGTTGGTCGACGTCTTGTCGAGCGTCCACGCCGTGTAGTTGGACGGCGTCGTCACCGTCACGTTGCGGATGAAGGGCACGCGCATGTCCGGGTGCGTCTTCAGGCAGAAGGAGAGGATGGACACGCAGATGAAGAACACCGAGATCACGCCGATGATCTGCAACACGAGAAGGGAGCAATACACGGCTGTCAAACTGGCGGCCCGCGATTGTCTAGAAAGAAAGTCCGTTTCTTCCATGTCGGCCCAGAATATTGTGCGTCCAGCACAAGTGCCGTACCGGGGTCAATACCCTCTTTAATGTAATGATAGTTGAAGTGTGGATTTAAAATTTTTTTTTCTAGTAAATTGAGAAATTGAAAAATCATCTCAATGTACTTCACAGCGTTATGCATGATACGGCGTGATATCGCGTATTGTTCTACCCCCCCCCCTTTCAGAGCAACCGGACGAAGCGCTGAGCTCAATAATACGGTGAAGTGAGGTGTGGATTGCAACCATATTAAGGTTTTATTTGTGGCCTTGCAAATTGGACACGCCTGGCTTATAGTATGGAATTATCAAGTACTCTAGTTGATTATAAAAACAATTTGCGTTAGAAATTCGTTTGCCCTGAACCACCTGAGGCTGAACAATGGGTTTCGACGTACGACATGCATGTGAACACCGAGAACACGCCGAAGATATGCAACATATGTCACGTGGTTATGGGAAGAGAGGAAAGGAGGGGATTTTCAGCAAGGAAGCATCCATAATATGCATGAAAAGAAATGATAAGAGTAGTATATAACAGAGAATGGGAGAATAGGAAGCTTCTTGCTTGCCGGATATTTTTTGTGTGAAGGAAATTTGTATTTTTCAGCTAAACTTCTTTGTCAGAGAAATTTGTTATTTGTGGGGGGAAATTTTTTGTTAGGGAAGTTTGTTTGTTAGGGAAATTATTTGTCAGGTAAATTTGTTGTTTACCAGATAAATGTGTTGTTTGTAAGGTGAATTTGTTGTTCAGGGAAATGGGTTTGCCAGGGAACTGTGTTGTTGGTCAGAGGAATTAGTTGATTATCAGGGAAATTTCTTTGGTTGTGTGTCAGGGAATTTGTTGACTGTCAGGGGAAGTTGTTGAGTGTCAGAGGAAGTTGTTGAGTGTCAGAGGAAGTTGTTGAGTGTCAGAGGAAGTTGTTGAGTGTCAGGGGAATTTGTTGAGTGTCAGGGGAAGTTGTTGAGTGTCAGGGGAAGTTGTTGTTTGCCAGGGAAATGCGTCGTTCGGGGGGGGGGCGCACCTTGGCGGCGTTGGAGGAGTAGGGTTCGTCGAAGAGCGACCACATCTTGGGCTTGAGGCGCTGCCACCAGGAGAGCGTGCCGCTGTAGTAGTCCTCCTCGAAGCCGAACTTGCGCGCCACCTCCTCGTCGCTCGGCTTCTCCGTGTCCAGGTCCAGGCGGTCCAGCACCGCCAGGGTCTCCTGCGTGTCTCGATGCTGCAACACGTCCATTTGAAGCCTCATTCGCATTACTCCGAGCACAATTCCCATCAAAAGTTTTCCCTTCACTACCAGGCAAGTGCCGGAGCAGTACCCTAACAAACGGGCTACGGGCCGCTCGCGATGTTTCCTTCCTCTTCCTTGTCCTATCCTTACCCCTTACTTACACACTAACATGCAACACACTTCCACACATGCTGGGAGACCGATTGGGAGTTTAAAGCTTGTTCCGGCTGGGGCAGTGCCCCGCTGGTGGGAGATATCTGGTTGGATAAATCCCGCTAGCTAAAGGTAGTTCGGTTCCGGATCTCACTATCCAGCGGGGGAAGGTCACTGCTACCTCACCAAGCAAAAAACATGCACTATACGCACGGGACTAACAATCTTAGCAGTTGACGCTCCTGGAATCTATCAATGGAATTTTGCGTTTAAACTGTTTACTTATTAACGTTTTAAATTGCAATTTCAGTAAAATAATGCAAATAATTAGTTTTCAAAGTAATTTCAATCACTAATTAATATCGTAATTTTAATATTCGATTCAAATTGACTTTCGCGTCATTTAAATCGTAATTTAAATACTAATATAAATCATTCATTTAAATTGCAATTTTAAATAGTAATTGCAATGTCGATTTTAGTGCCAATTTAATGTGTGGTTTAAATCGCAGTTAAAATCGTATGCGTGTCTTTTGCGTGTCCTGACGATGAAAAGCAAACAAGAAAATATTGAGTTTAAGTGGCGGTGAATTAATTCCGTTGATTAAAATCGTAATTTGGATTGTTGGTTAACCGTAATTTCAATTTTAGATTGAAATAGTGAAGAAAATAGGAATTTAATGAAGTTAATGAAAAATCACTGATTTATAATCTTAATTAAAATAATTATAAAAATGAGCGCCAGTGTCTCTTGTCAGTACGCTCGAACACGCCAGTAGTAACGTGACATTCCTTTCCCCACTGTGATGGTGATTCCAGACAGTTGATTTATTGGGTAATTGAAGAATTTGCTTAAATCGTAATTTAAATAGTAAGGTAAATCATTGTTTAAAATCGTTATTTGAATAGCGCAACATTTGTCGTAATGTTATTGACGATAATCGCTTTACATCGTAATTTAAATAACCATTCATTTGATGTAATTTGTGATGTAAATGATGAGTGTTTCATTACAATATTTTTTGACCTTCTTTGCCGCTATTTTTTGCGTTTTACTATACTTGAATCTGAACAATCATTTGAAATTACAGTTCCAAAACAGCTGACCATAGTTTCATATAAATCGTTAAGGTGAGACGTTTCGGAGAGGAATAAGAATAAGAAATAACGGATATTTGCTCAAATTATTTAACAACTCACAAACGAAAAGAAATTACTACTGGGTCTGTCGCTGGTGTATGATGACTTTAGTGTCGCTTTTGTGCTAATTGATTCTCCTGTTCGTCTTTGAAAGCTCTCGACTAAAGAGTGTAGCTTTCTCGTCTTTTTTTTCCAAGGATTTTCCCATCTGATTATACTTGATTTTTCAAACAATAGCTGTAAAGTGTTTATTTGTGCCTGTCTCGCCGTGTGTAGTTTCCAAACGTCGCCCAGTATTGTCGACGGACGGACGACGAAGGTCCTAAAGAGAGCGCTTTTATCGCCCGGCAGCCAGCGGCCTGTCATCCGGGTCGCGCGCGCGCCGCCAGGAGCGCCACCGGCGCGGCGCCGTCAAAGGTGCGCCGCCGTGTGAATGCGAGGCGCAATCTTTCGGTGACCGACCCCTCCCGCTCCCCCGAGGTCGTTAATTAGAAGGGCGCTCGCCGTGTGATGGATTGCCCCGGCACCGTCGCCCGATGCGGAGGCGGCGGGCGTCAAGCGGAAGGGCGTGACTTCGGGCGCTGCGAGGGAGGGAGGGGCTTCGTTTTGGGAAGATGGCGCGCGGCGATTTGCGACGGGTGGACTCCGAAAATAAGAGTAAATCGGGCTCTCCTCCGAGTTCTGTGTTACTAAAACTAGGGGTAACCCTTTGAAAATGACGTGACTTAAAAAGAAAAAAACAAACAATGATGCAATCCGTGCTAACGAACATTTTCTGCAGATTCTTAAACAAAATTGTCTGGGGCCCATAAACGATCCCGTCTTTGTATGAAAAGGGTTAAGATATTTTGTAATAAGGATAAAAAGGAGAAATCTTTTGTGAGTGAAAACTACTTCTATAATACATTTAAGAAACCGGTTCCACAAATTCATTTTTTTAAAGTAACTGAAAAAATTGCTTTTCTGGATAATGAAGAAAGAAAATTATAAATCAATAACATACGGCCCCTATTTTAGAGTGCGTGATTGAAAAATTACTTGCAATAAATGTTCATTAAAGGGACTCACATTAGTGTATTCTTGGATTCCCACTGCCATGCGAAATTGGAGGAGACGCTAATTGAAATCTCCTTAGAGGTTACCTGATCTTAATGTATTTAGCAAATTAAACTAGCAGTCTAACACACTTGTACCGTCGTATGTTCAAGTAACATAAAGTAAGCAGACGTTTCATGGCGACCAGGTGCGATTTCAATTTTTTATAGCTAATAGGAACTTCCTATTAGAACTAAGTTGTTTTTTTTGACAACATAATGAAGATTGACATTTAATGAAGAAAATGCCATCTTTCGTTCTAGTTCCAGTTGCTCAAACCGAACGATATAATCGCGGGGTCGCAGGAAAGATTTGGATTTGTGAACGGAATGAATTGGGTCCTTGATTGAAAATAAAAAGGATCTAGTAGCTTTTATTCTGGTGTGACAGTCGCTGAAACAGTGAGCGAGCAGATACTTTTGTTAGCAATGTTTAAATATGTCAAACTGTTCGAAAAATTTTATTTAAAAAATGGTGTTAAATTATTAAAAAAATAGACATACCTACTGTATTTGAATTTTAAGTTTATCATACAATAAATATGTGATGCAAGAGACTGCTGAATGATAATTAGTCGCTTCATTAGAATGCTTTAACTTATCGTAGTGCGTTCTGTTATTTCGAGACTGTTGTTTTAAAATAGACGCATAGCGTAGTCCCAATGATGGACCGGTGCATTGGCTGAATGTTAAATACTCGCGTAAATAATGTATCGTATTCAGCCATTTGTTGTGTTTACCTGTTATTTAAGAGAGCTCGGTTACACTAGTGATATGGATGTCATGCAAGAGTATCCAGTCAGTGGAAAATGGATGCATGTATTCCTCTTATTGGCAACAACTATTGTTGGGACTTCATCTCCTGATTTGAAATTAAAACCAAAGAACCACGTAAAAAGAGTTGTATGCAACAAACCCAAATGCGGCATTGGAACAATGAAATGAGGTTGCATGTTGGGGACTGTTAAGTGACGCGGTAAATTGTCTTATGCATTAACTAAGCATGACACTTTTCTATTTACTGTCGTGTGATAAAGATGATTTCGTGTAAGGCTTTAGATGTACGCCTAGAATAGCGAATTAAGGAAGGATATATTTTACGGAAAATAAGAATTAATGAAGTTACTATATGGGACCATTAATGTTCAGCCCATTTTAGTAGTGATTAAATATTGTGGTACAGTCAACGTCAAAAATTCTTTGGCTGTGATCGTTCTCGTCGTGGACGATGGTGACCTCCTATGTGTTGGAATTAGCAATTTATAAATTTTGTTGCCAATGATTCAGAATTTGCCTGTGCTTTGGTTTGATAAGAAAATTTCCAAAGAAAACGAGAAATTGTAGTCTTGAAATAGAAGTTAAAGAACATTCTACGGGACCTTCACAATTTATTGATGAGTGGATATCTCGTATGTGGTAAGAGCGACATGTTAGGCTTTCGTATGGTAGGTGCTTTCAGAAAAATATTACAATAAGTAAACATTTAATATTATTTCATGGAAAGTATAGAATGTCTAAACTTAGCCAACCATATTCTTATTATCAAAACGTGTTAATCCTTCCTGCTGTAATTTTGTTTATCAACGACGTTATATAACTTAAACATTTGATTAATACATTTTTTAGAATGCTTTTAAACAATCTGGTGATATAGCGACGGACCACTGATTGTTTTAACTGCAGTGAAACTATAGGGTGAGCACGTAAAGACAACACGAACACACAAAAACGTTCTTGCCCAAGGTGCCATTCGAGACGATGCAGCCATGGTCCTTTCAGTCTTGGCGACCTCGGCTATCCAGGCCGGCTGATTAATATCTCATTTTGACTATTTGTAATGTTTATTATTGCATGGATCGATATTTCAGTTCGTGTGTTGGATTTTGTTACTGCATGTGCATCCGCTTGCACCCTCGCTGTGGGGTCCTCAAAGTGTGGAGCGTTGCCCGTCGGCGGAGAGTTTCGTGGGCGGTGGGGCCGCGGGTGGCGCTGTCTGTGTTGGGGGTGGTCAGCATCGGCGGCGGCGCGGGTCGATGGCTCTCGCAGTGGGCGTGGTCGCCGCCGGCCCCGCCCCCGCCGCCTCCCACGCCCGTTCGCACGCGGGTGCTCATTTTAGGAGAAATCCACGAGTCACACCGGAGTAATAATGCAAACTGCTAGGGCATGCAGTCATGTCATCAAAGATGTTCACTTTTTTGTCAGTCTGTTAAAAGAAAATTCATATAATAAAAATACCGCATGTGGCATTTGGTAGGAAACTCTGATTGGTCGTGATTTGATGTGCGGCACGGAAATGAAACGTCTTTGGACCACCTCAGTACGTAATTTGCATAACAACAGTGCTTGATATTGTGGTGACGTGACGTATCCTCTAGAAGTTTGTAAAATTGTGGAATATTTGCATGTGTAAAGTTTTTGAGTGTGTTAAATATTTATGTAAATGTATGTGCACGGTATGTTGATTATGCAAATATTATGTATGTAAAATTTATGTCAATGGATGATTGTGAATTATTGCAACACTTCAGCCTTGTATCTACGTGTGGACATGACGAAAAATGTAGGGTAAGGAACATTTAGCGGAAGGGGCGGTAATATTTTTAG